CTCCCCCCCCCTCTCTCTCTCTCTTTCCCATTCTGTCCCACACGCACGAACATACAAGGTGCGTATTATCCGAACAAATAAAACAAGCGCAAATGCACCCGTGAAAACTAAAGAGTAAAATACATAAAACTCAAAGCCACTCTCAAGTGGCAACTTTTCTCACCTTCTCGCTATGGAATATCACCCCCCCCCCTCTCCAGGCCCTCTTAGATCTATAGGAAAGCCTCCTCTCCCCCTCCCCCCACACATTCATACACATACACATTCACACATGTACACACAAACATGCGCACACATACGCATAAACATACACACACGCACACACAGACAGACAGACAGACAGACAGACAGACAGACAGACAGACATACAGACAGACAGACACACACACACACACACATACACACACACACACACACCCACGTACACACACGACTTAGATTTTAGCGATACCTGTGTAGTCCATTTATTCTGTTCATGTACAATACGATTATGAATATTATATCCTTCTTCTGGACACAATTTGGTCATTAAAATGTTTGAAGGTTAATAAGGGGCTCTCGTGGTCTGGAGGTTACGGTGTTCGCCTGTCATTCAATAGGTCCCGGGTTCGAATCCGGATAGCGACGGAAAATTTTCTTCTCTAAAAATGTATCCTTTCACATCCTTTCCTACACTCTAACAATGTTCTATCGACTGCTTTGGTTTCCATTTTCTGCACACTCCGCTGGGCTCCTGACACTTTCTGCAGCCTTTCTACTGCTACTCCTTGACTCCTTCTTACTGCTGTCTTTTAGCCACGCCCCTGACCTTATGGTAGGTCTACACCTAGCCTTCTCGGATAAGGGCGAAAAATCTAGGAGGTCCCGAGTGTAAGTTGCGCACATTAAAGATCCCTTGGTGGTCCAAAATCGATTAGAGTAAGGTTCGGCAGCCACCCCGGCAAAATTCAAAATTTCCTACCAACGGAAAATATTTTATGTGTCTCACGCGCTCAATGACCTTAATAATATTATGCGGTTGCAGCGCCGTAAAACTCTTAACAAAAAAGAAAAAAAACGTGTTGTATCCCCCCCCCCCCCCCCCCCGAATACACACATCCTATCCCCCCCCCCCCCCATGGCCTGGAGAAACTGTTCTTCATGATTTTAACTTCCATCATCATAGCAAGTAGGCTTTCTTGAGATGAACTAAATGAGAAAAATAATTAATCGAAAAACAATGTCACCGTGCAGCATATTTTTAAAATGCTTGCTTAAAAGCTACTTCAGCACTGAATTTTGAGTCCATACCATAGCAACTTATAATAATAGGAAAATAATTTAGCCTACTTTTAAAGTTGTAAACACAGTAAGATAAATGTCAATTATTCGCTGGGACCTGTACTTTTCTATTCATTTACAGTACTCATTTGACAATATTTAAGAAAGCGTTTCTCGATCTAGAATCTAGATCTAGATAGATCTAGATATCTACTTCGCAATGGACGTTGGCCTACGTTTTAATTAGAGCGTATGAGTAACGCATGGACAGTTCAGTGTAATCCTTCACTTTGCTTGCAAGTTCCGGGAACGAACAAGTGAACCCATATAGGGTCAGGTTAACGGAAACATTTTTGGTGTCGGTCCGATCTCTGTGTAATGTCTAGATCTATATTTAGTTCCTTATTCATGTCGTAGGCTCTTCGTCCAATGATAGAATGTGTGAAGGAATATAAAAAGATGTCAAGTGGGTATAGTTGCACTTCTTGATTTAGATTGGTACCTCTCTCTTGAACTTGAGACAACTGCACTGGCACAACACTAGGCCTAATTAACACGGATCTATTCTTAATTCAAGTAGGCCTACAGTATAGAAACTACGCTGTACTCTCCAGATTTGTATTTTTAAAAAAAGACTCAAAACATTCTAACATCAAGTTGATTGAAATTTAAGAATGGCTTCTGCGACGTCCGAAGGTTCAGCAGCCTCCCCAAGCATTACGAAGGAGGATGTCAAATTGCCTTGCAAACAAGACAAGCTTGCCTTTGTGCTGTATAATGTTCTCACACCACAGGTGGGTTACCCATTTTGTCTTTTATGATTACTTACTGCTCTATCAAGACATTCTTTTCATCCTGCTGTATCTTGTGATATAAAGTTGTGCTGAAATTGATGAAGTGTCTTGGCCTTGGTGATATAGGCCTAACTGTGGCTTTGAGTGTATGCCCCGTGCCTAAATACCCCCACTTGTACTGACAGGTCTGCGTAACCAACTTTGAATTCCAAAACTAAGTTTTAATTTCTCTCCTTGAAAAAAAAATGGTCGAGGAATTAATTGTTTCAGATTAATATCGTTTGGATTACTGTATTACAGTATACATCTATATGTTTCTATCAGCCTTATCACTGTGTGTGCCTTTGAATATTTTATTTAGTGTGATCTTTCTCAGTTCTGCTTTGCAAAATACTGTAAAACTTGTTCAAGATGACTATCCATTGTAAGAGGAAAAGTGGTCATCTTAGAGAGGTGATCCTCTTGGTTAATACAGTATCATATATTATATTTTGAAAAAAAAAACCTCAAGAAGGGAAGTGGGAAGTGGTCGTTTATTCAGAGATTTTCTTGGATAGGTGGTCATTTGAACCTAGGTTCAACTATACTTGGAGTTGAATGACAACATAACCTTTTGGCTGCTCATGTAATAATAATAATAATAAATGACATTTATATAGCGCTCAACCCCGATTAAAGTACACAGGCTCTGAGCGCTTTACAATACAGTACAACGTATACATGTCACTAGGAACTCATCTTCCAGTGATCACCAAAGGGTTTATGGCTATAGTGACTGTAAAGAGTAAAGCCCCATTCTTCCTCGACCTTGGGGAAGAAAAAACTACACTGGAGTCAGCTTAAACCCAAATCAACCGGACTGCCAGATTTTCTTCTGTCTTTGCTGGGTCTTCGGTTCTGAGAAGATGTGTGAATAAATTACACAAAGTCGGAAATTTTCTGTGAAAGCTATCATAATTTTTTTGAATGCAACAAGAGAAAGAAAGGAATACTCTCACAGAAAAAGAAAACTGCTTCTAATTTGTCCGAATAGTTTTTAATTTATCGGTATTTTGAAAGGGCAATGTCTGGGGGTTCTGCTATTTTTTTTCTTTTCGGCCCAATTTGTATTAAAATCATCTATCGCAATGCGGGGCTGACTGTCTTAGTGCGTTAAAATTACAGCTCAAAAAGTATCGCACATAACTTCACCAAATTTTTAACAAAATGAGACAAGTGGGTCAACTGTTGGCTCATTGCTTCCAGCAGCTTGTAACCGTAAAACAACGGAGATATGGATCAATAAAGGCAATCCCGTAAATATACGCGATTAGGCCACAGGGCCAGCGGGGTGTCTTGTAAATACACGGGAATAGGCTCAAATGAAACGTCAAGTCTATGCTCCTCTACGGTTGCGAAACTTGGAAGTTAACAAAGACAGTACTTAATAAAGTCCAGACTTTCATCAACAGGTGTATGAGGAGTATTCTAAGAATTAAGTGGCAGGATAGAATAAGAAATGAAGAGCAGTAGGAAAGGACAGGACAAAAGGATATAGAAGTAGAAATAGGACTAAGAAAGTGACGATGGATGGGACACACTTTAAGAAAGCCCAGCAGCGGAAACATCACAAGACAGCCACTGCAGTGGAACCCACAAGGAGCATGAGGCAGGGGTAGGCCACGGGAAACATGGAGGAGATGTGTGGAAAGGGACATGAGAGAGATGAAGCTCACTTGGAATGAGCTGGGAAGAATGGCCCAGGATAGAGATAAATGAAAGGAGCTTGTATGTGGCCTATACCCTGCCAGGGGTGAAAGGCATTGATGGTTGATGAGGCTCAAGTGAGTTAATACACTACAATGACACAGACAGCCATCGGTCTTAGACAGTCACTTTTCTCCTTGACAAAAGGTTATGGCTGTCTCAGACAATTAGGACTATATTTTTGTTGTTAGATAAAGATATGTCAGTTATATATTTTTGCTAAAACTATGTTTGTATATGGTCGCTTTTAAGCACAAGGGGGCTATCACGAAAAATGCTGTTTTGAGAAAATGGATGATAAAGTCTTTGCCCCATTGTTCAGTTTCTTTGAAAGTCAAGGAGAGTTTTCTCTATAACCGAACAAATATACTCATCAATGAAACCAAACTTCTCCTATAGGTAGGGCAATGCCCTCTTTTGGTATAGGTCAAGATTTCTGGAAACCCCCGAAATCTGGGTTAGCCCGCTTGTCCTTAAAAGTGACCATATATTATGTACTGTCTTTTCCAGGAATGTAAGGAACTCATTGACAAGACAGAGAAGAAGGGTTATGAATTGGCTCTGGTCAACACTGGATTTGGAAGGTAACAAAGATCTTGCAACCTTTATATATATGCAATAAATATTTGGCTTTTATTTTCATTTTTTATGCACATGCTGTGCCTTACTGATGCAAAACTGGCAACCAGTATGTGTAATTAAAAAAAAAAATTAATATGTTTTTGAGGGTCTGAGTCTGAGTGGGGAGGTCCATTTTAATAGGCCCTAGCTATATCAGAAAATTATGTAGTCTCTGTTTATTTGTTCACCTCCTTGTGGATTTGCCAGTTCTGAAGAAAAATCATGAACTTAAATCTTTAAACCCCTTCGGAAGCTGGGAACGTCCGGCGGTAATAACCCTGCTCCCCATCGTATGCTGGAGCGTCCGATACTAGTGACAACATTTTCGTTTTACTTAGAGCTAGTTTTTGCTTGTTTTTTTGGAACTATTCCCGAAATAAGTCTTTTAGTACATAGTGCATCAGGTTTAGGTGACTAGAAAAGACTCCGGGAAACTGTGGAAACAAACTCAGAGTTTAAAGAGTTAAGAAATGGATTTGCAAATAGTAATGAGAACAAAGCCCATGAATACATTGGAGATTTTTGTTGTTGCATGTCTGCTTTGAATATGTTGAATTCATTGAATGCAGAAAAGTGTGTTCGAAGGGGGGAGCAGTTATATTTGGGTCGATGCGCACCATCTTGACCGGCTGCATGGGTGGATTTTGCTTTTTGGTTCCGAAAGGTTGGCAGCTGTGCCGATGGGTGGAATGTATGAATTTTGTGTTGTTTTTGCCCTCTCTTAATGCACTGGTCAGTCAACACTGACTTTCGTGGGTGGTTGCTGGGAGCTCTGTTGTGGTTTGCTCCTTCTTTCCTATCAAATGTCTATCGTCCTCATCTCTCCTCCTTCTTTTTTGTGTTTGTTACTCTCTTGTAACACCTCTAATCTTCGGCACTTACATGACCTCATTGTGTTACAAATGCCGTAAAACTCTTACTAAAAAGACCCACTGACTTTAAGTATTGCTCAGGAAGATTTAACAATGTATTTCACATTATATTTGGATTTTATCAAATTTTCAGTCAACATGTTCTCTGTGTTTATGGCTGTCCCAAAACAATGTAGGCTCCATGTGGGATGTGAATCACAAACATATCTGCTCCATAGTTTAGCCTGATACGAACTGAGCCAACCACACACTTAAAGCACATTAATTAAGTGAATTGTATTGAAAGGGGCACTTAGCATGGGGTAAGGTGGCCAGTTCCTTTCCACGTCGCCTGGGAAAATAAAGGGGGCGTTGAAAGGAACTGGCCACCCTACCACACTATGCTGAAAGTCCAGGAAGTCGTCTCACTAACAAGGCAATACCCAATGTTCGGATCGGATGCGGGAATAACTTTACTTTACTTAACATGACTGAGATATAAGCCATTAATAAAAAAGGTAATATTCATTTAACGTTTTTTGAAAAGGTAATGTTGTGTAATATGAGATACTGTCACCTAGAATTTACATTTTTAATTTGAATATCATTGGAGTTTTGTTGGTTATTTATGCTGTCGGAGGGTTTTTTTTTCATGTTAATTTTCTGTATAAATCTCTTTTGTTGCTAGTGCTTTTGAATAACGTGGTTTCACATACTTTTTCTTCTTTCATAGACAAAAAGCAATGACTGACATCAGAAACAGTAGTCGCTGTATCATAGACTCTGAGGAGTATGCGACGGAGCTTTGGCGACGGATCAAGGATTTCGTACCCCCTGTATTCAAAGGGAGGAAAGTGCTGGGACTGAATGAAAGGTGGCTAACTCTCTTTGTATGTATGTAGTATAGGGTTTTCCGGCGCTCGCAACTGCTAAGGTCATATGAGCGCGCTAACTATCTTTTATCTCTACCGAAATGATTGGTCGTCATTCTTCTCTTGTGGTTTCTTTTCTTTGATTTATTTAGATGTTTTGATTTCTTTTGCCCTCTCTTTTCTGACAATGTTGTCTTGAAGCCCCCATCCTAGTTATCCACATTGAGCCATTGGAAGTTGACTTCTGATGGCAGTTTACTCAAATGAAAGCTCATTTAACACTTTGCAGTCACTTGGCGCAATAATGCGCCGGTGAAAATGATCAGTTCCGGTCACTGCACCAGGCCCGAGAAGTCCATTGCAGTCACTCTCCTGGCTGGGTTACCAGATGGGGTATTTGGTACTGCTGGCTGTGTGAGTGCAAAGTGTTAAGTAATTTTAGTGGTATTATTTGTTGTCTTTCAAAAGAACAGGGCGATAAAAAATATACAAAGTTCCTTTATGTCCCTGTCGTTTTGAGTTCAGAGGGAGCAATAATGGGCAAGAATGTCGGTGAATGGAAAGTGCCTTAACTCACTTGAGACAGAGTAATTTTTCACCCAACAACCACTGCAACCTGACACTTTTGGAGGTATGTTGAGGCCTTAACCACAAAAAGATTGTGAAAGATATACATTTTAAAAAATGCAGCAAGGCAAAGAAAGAAATGCTCTCACAGAAAAAGAAAACTGCATCTAATTCGTCTGAATAGTTTTTATCTTTTTTCATCATCCTGTTATATTCTCTTGCTAGGCATCAGGGATGATTGAGTGTTTGTTTAAGAAAGCGTTTTACGGAGCTTGCAACACAGTTAGGTCATATTAGTGCCATAGATTAGAGGTGTTACTAGACAGCAACGAACATGAATAAAAAAGAGGAGGGATGAGGACGATAGGTGTGTGATAGGGAAGAAGGAGCAAACCGCACCAGAGCACCTGCTAATACGGACTGTAATATCTTTGGCTTACACTGCACCTAATTTCTTCTTGTATGACCTGGTTTCCTTTAGAAGTGTGGTGCCTCTGACTTGTTTGGCTGTTGTTCGTCGCCTCAGAACTATTTTGTCCAAAGTGTCTCTTTACTCCGGTACACTTTGGACAAAATACCTCTGAGGCGACGGGTTGTTTTTTTCTTTTTAATGACGAATCTTTTTTCAGATTTTGATAGGTTTGTCACCTGTATATTTATGGACAGCAGGTGGTTGGCGGGTGCTCTGGTGTGGTTTGCTTCTTCTTTCCTGTCAAAGATCTGTCGTCCTTATCTCCCCTTTTTCTTTTTTATGTTTGTTACTCTCTTGTAACACCTCTAATCTTCTGGCGCTCATATGACCTTTTATGCAGTTGCGAGTGCCGTAAAACCTCTACTAAAAAAAGGTCTCTCTCTTACACATCTTCTCTTTCACACTCATCTATACTCATACACACATAATATAATGTCTAGTTTGGCATGAAAATATGATTCATCATTCCACTGCCGATGATACAATTGCAGTGTGTAGTGGTGAATAGTTATTGAGTTAACTCTGATACCATTTCAATAATTTCATCGTGATCAATTTGTAGGCTCCGTTACCTTCGCTACGACAAGGGGGAATACTTCAAACCACACTACGACGGCGTCTACATTCGAGAGAATGGAGAAAGAAGTTGCATCACATTTCAGCTTTATCTAAATGAGGTGAGATTAAGATGAGATGAGATGAGATAAGATAAGATGAGATGAGATGAGATGGGATGAGATGAGATGAGATGAGATGAGATGAGATGAGATGAGATGAGAAAATATGAGAAAAGATAAGATAGATCTTTTGTGTCCAGGTGCTGGCACATTGGTTTGATGTTTCACCTCATCACACACACACACACACACACACACACACACACACACACACACACACACACTCACACACGCACACAAATACACACACATTCACATACACACTCACGTACACACACATACACATACACACACACACACACATACACATACACACACACACACAAACACACACACGTACATGCATGCTCGCACACCCATACACACATACTCTACCTCTCCCTCTAGCTCTCTCTCTCTCTCTCTCTCTCTCTCTCTCTCTCTCTCTCTCTTTCTCTTACTCTCTCTCTCACTCACTCACTCACTCACTCACTCACTCACTCACATGCATCCTTTCTCCACATACATATATATACACAAAAGCACATTATGCTTGTACTCACAAAATAGACCCACTGTTACACGCATACAATATAAATGAACAGTTATTGTTAACCCTTCCAGCCCCCTGCGTGTATATTTTCAGCAGCGCTTGTACCTCCCACCGTCCCAAGAGCAAATATTCTCAGTTTTGGGGGTAACGAATTTGTGCATTTTTGAAATTAACGAACCTAATTAAAATTGTAAATGATATGCAATAGCCCACAAAAAAATTAGGAATGATGCCCTTATTATTTTTATTCTAGAACTTTTCACGGCTGTTTAGACCCAGAAATAATGATGGTGCGTTCTCAAAATCATGCTGTCAGTTATCAGGAGTGGTTTCAATGGCCAAAAAATAATATGTGAGGCAGCGCGGTGGAATCAGGCTCTCGTCAAAATAATGAAAGTAAGAAACTTGCATTTTTCCGCAGGTTTGTGAATTTTTATCAAATTTTTGTTTTTTGGCTCAACGCCTTTCATGCTCATTAAAGAACTCATTTATGTGTGGATTTTTCTTAAAAACGTTGATTAAAGGCACACAAAAATGTAAATTTTCAGTTACCACGGACTCTTAAGCTTAGGAGATAACCAACTTTGGGGGTCATTTTCTCACTAATTTTACCTCTGAAAACAGGTGACCCCCACCGCCTTCATTCGCAAATATCTCGACTTGTATTCAAGATAAATGGATATTTTTTCATCCAAATAAAGACAAGTAAACAAGCTTTAAGATGACACCAATAACTCTACATGCCCAAAAATTGACGAGAGCCTGATTCCACCACGCTGCCTCACATATAATTAATTTGTTCTTCTCTTAATTGAAGAAATTTGAGTTCACATCAACTTTCCATGCGTGTTGTTTGTCATGTACAGGGGAAAAGAGGCACTCCTGATATGGTCATCTTCTTAGAATAAATAAGATACACACATGTGAGGCAGCGTTGGGAAATCAGGTGCTCATCAAAATAATGAAATCTGAGAAACAGGCATTTTTTCACCTGTCTGGCAATTTTCATCAAATTTTTGTTGTTTTGGCTCAACCTCTTTTATGTCCTAATAAAAACTTAAACATATTTCCATTTGAATTTTACAGAAAAAATGTTAAGTAAAGACACAAAATATGTCATTTTTCCGTTTTCAAGGACTCTTTAGCTATGGAAGTTACCAAACTTTGGTGGCCATCTTCGTGCTAATTTTCCCACTGAAACCAAGTGACCCCCACCTTCTTCAATCTCAAATATTTTGACTTCTATTCATGATAGATGAAGATGGGCATATTTTTCACTGAAAGCAAGACAATTGAACAAGCTTCAAGACGGTACCAATAATAAATAAAATTAAAAATAAATTATTACACTTTTATTTGTCCCAGAAGAGCACTTTGTTTTACAATGGCAAACATACATACACAAATACATAATTATAAATACGTACATACCTAAATACATACATGCATGAATACATACATAAATACACACTATTACACAAGTACAGAACAGTTTACAAACAATGCCACTGTCGGTCGCCACTGTGCAGCGCCCTGTAATTTGAGCTAGGGTTGTCGTGTCTTTCTCAAGGACACACTCCAGTGACCACCCATCTGATCCCCGTGTCACCGACACTTGCTTGACATTGCTTGAGTCAAAACTCACTACTCACTTAGCCACTGGAGCTCCACATGCCCAAAAAATTGACGAGCGCCTGATTTCACCACAATGCCTCACATATTAATTGACAATTGATCACAATTTCTTTCTTTTGGTCATTTTCTTTTTCAATGCTGGATGTTTAATCAACTGTCGTGCTTGTTTTCAAAATCCATTTTGTTTTGTTTCTTGTCTAGCTATTTTGTATTGTTTCGAAACAAATATTCACATCTGATTTTTTCAGGGTTTTCAAGGCGGAGCTACAAATTTCCTTGGTTCCAATTTCGAAGTTGAACCAGTCGTACCAAAGACAGGTGAGTCTAAGTCTAAGTGATATTGATTAACCCTGTCCGTACGTCATGTTTTACTATAGTATCCATACGACGTGGAGAACTCTGTGCCACCACTTCCAAAGAGGAAATTTACTCGTTAATGCGATCCGTATGCTTTGCATAGCAGTCTGTCAAAATGATTTTTTAGAAATACTGAAATTTCAAAGAGATCTTCGAACTAGAAGTATTCTAAAATGTGAAGAATACGACCGCGGAGGTACAATTTGACCCCAGAGCGTACAGATACGTTAAGCTGAGTGAATAAATGTCATTCGTATGTGTGCATTTATGGCAGGTGATCGGAGGGCACCACTGGTAGGTCTTATAACTTCTTTACTCTTCCCTCTGTTGTTTCTGTCTGTCTGTCTGTCCTTCTTACTTTTAGAAAATACTAAATGATCATTATTGTGTATGCATATGTGAATGTGAGAAAAGTTGTAATGTTTTAGTAATTTGTATTCTGTTTTGTTTGCATAATATTTCTTTTCTTTTTATTTTCAACATTTTCTTTCCCCTTTCAATCTTTTTCCTTTGCAACTTTTAAAGTATTTATGTGTAACTTTTTTCTTTAGTGTATTATATCTGCCTTCTCTCCTTTCTTAACCCTTTCTCATTTCTTCTTCCTCTGTTCTCTGTGCAAGTCCATTGGATACACCTATTCAATATACTATTTAGTTGTGCCAAGCGGGATATTAAAACCTTTGTATGAAAACCCCCCCAAAAATTTCCTCCGTACAATTTTGAGATGGCTTCAGTTAAAGCAGTCTTTTTGTTTTTTGTGTTACTGATCAATGGCTCTGATTTTAACGGCGTATTTTTGTATTACTGAATAATCGACTCTCATTTCAACATGTAATAGCTACACCACTGATGCCGGTTTGATATATATATATATGTGAGGCAGCGTGGTGGAATCAGGCTCTCGTCAAAATAACCAAAGTGAAGAAACTTGCATTTTTCCACAGGTTTGTGAATTTTTATCAAATTTTTGTTTTTCGGCTCAACACCTTTCAGACCCATTATAGAACTCATTTATGTGTGGATTTTTATGAAAAACGTTGATTAAAAGCACAAAAAAATGTAAACTTTTAGTTACCACATGCTCTTTAGCTAAGGAAATAACTAATCTTTGGCGGCCATTTTCTCACTAATTTTACCTCTGAAAGTAGGTGAACCCCACTTCCTTCTTTCGCAAATAACTCGACTTGTATTCAAGATAAATGGATATTTTTTTCATCCATATAAAGACAAGTAAACACGCTTTAAGATGATACCAACAACTCGACATGCCCAAAAATTGACGAGAGCCTGATTCCACCACGCTGCCTCACATATATATTATAAATATATATATACTGAAATAGCAATAACTCATGTTTTCTGACATTTGCAGTTGAAGGGTGTTTTCCAAATCACAGCAACATCTAATCACAATTTCTCGTCTATTCCTTCGTCCTCAGGGTCGGTCCTCATCTTTCAGCACGATATCTTCCATGAAGGGGAGGAGCTGAAGAAAGGTCGCAAGTACGCCATGCGGACGGACGTCATGTACTCGGCGGAGCGTAGCTATGGCAACGAGGGGACTCCTGTTTAACATTGACAACACGCTGCCCTAAAAGTACAAAGTTCTATCTGCTCAGTTCTTAGTTTGGAGAAATTTGCCGTAAAAAATTTTTAGTTTCACAAAGCTGTCCCTGAAGAATTATGCAAATTTAGATGGCAAAATTATGCAAAAAAAAGCAAAATTTTGCAAAAATTATGCAAGTTACCGTAACACCATTCGCGACAAGTTTTGCACTTTTTCAGCAAGGATTCTTCATGATTTTCATGTTTTATGTACAGAAAAATTGAAAAAATATCAGTATCAGTAATTTGTTGTGTATTTGGAAAGAAAACTACACATCAGTCAGAAAAAAAACTACCAAAAAATATAATCTCTGTAACTTTCAACTATAGATCTAGATATCTAGATCTTTGTAGAGGAAAGAAAAATGGTAAAAAAAATTTTTTTTTAAAGGGAATGATGACCTCTGATCCTGCTCATTACTAAAAGCAGGGACACCTGTCAAACCTGAAACATCAGAAAACTTGAGAACAACAACTTTTGATGGATTGAAAAATTGAACATGCTCAAGGAACAAAATCCCAACCCATAACCAAGATCTTCTAACAAGGGAAATAACCAACTTTTCACTTAAATGAGACTCATTACGGTGATTACTTCCCTTTAGTCACATGGCGAGGCTTTAATTTATTGTTTTGTAAAAAAAAAAAGGGAAAAAAGAGGGAAAAAACGCGGGGAATCCAAAATTATGCAAATGTTGCAGAATTACGCGAAAAAACGCGGCCGCACAGCGGCTGCACAATCGCATAATCCTACGGGGAGCTTTTCCGTACGCAATTGTTTGAATATCTTAATAAAAGTTACGGGTAAAGTTACTCTTTTGGTAGAGCAGATTGAACAAATTTCTTTCTGACCTCATGGTCTTAGTTACTCAAAACGGCCGCAAAATGTCGGATACAACTTTGTAATTCTAAAGGTAGCAAACAGTGCTTTGGCATTTTAAAGTGGTCATTACAGAGATATTGTTTGTTTTAACACTTCGCCCCCTCGGGACGCCAATTGGCGAAAGTAAGAAGCCGTCCCTTTACCCCAGGGGACGCCGATTGGCGACAGTAAGAAAATGTCCCTTCACCCCACGGGGCGCCGATTGGCGACAGTAAGAAGCTGTCCCTTTACCCCAAGGGACGCCAATTGGCGAAAGTAAGAAGCCGTCCCTTTACCCCATGGGACACCGATTGGCGACAGTAAGAAGCCGTCCCTTTACCCCACGGGATGCTGATTGGCGACAGTAAGAAGCTGTCCCTTTACCCCACGGGACACCAATTGGTGACAGTAAGAAGCCGTCCCTTTACCCCACGGGACGCCAATTGGCGAAAGTAAGAAGCCGCCCCTTTACCCCACGGGACGCCGATTGGCGACAGTAAGAAGGTGTCCCTTTACCTAATGGGACGCCGATCGGCGCCGGTGTGATATAGCGTGTACCGCACCTGTATCGTAGTCCGTGGGGGACAAGTGTTGTGCATTCTGCGCACTGCGTGGGTGGAAAGTGTTAATAAACTCCTGGGTTATGGTAGAAAAGTTTTCTTTTCACAAAAGAAATGAGATGGCTAAAGTTTTTTGGCGAACTGATGGTTTTTTGAAGCTCCACATTATCCTTGCATCCAGTATGAAACAAGCTCTGTTATATTTTTGCTAAACATTTTTTAAATGTCTTGCAGATATCATGAGCAAGTGTCAATCTGTAAAAGTTCTAGACATAATTTAATGGTTTCTTTGACTACAGGAAACTGTGTTGCACCCTATATTGCTACTGGATTGATGCGTCTTGCACAAAGAGGTGCCCCAGTGACTGCCTCTTACTTGTCTTTCTTTGAGGACACAGCGCTACAAGACAGGATGGCTCATAATTTCCATATAATTCTTTCTTGTAACAATAATATGTCAACATGCTACCACGGTTGTACAAGCTGTCCAGCTTATGCCAAAATCAAACTAAGTCATCTTGACCTTCCTTATTACGAAACGGCCTGCCACCTTGTCATTTACTTTACTTTTTTTAAAACTTAAACTTTTTTTTCCACTCGCACTGATGGGTGTCGTTAGGAAAAACAGTTGTCTGTCCGTTGCGGGTTGAATGGCTTGGAGGAGGGTCAATTCATGAACTCTGAGTGTGTCCTTTTCAGAGTCGGTCCAACAATGAACCTTGTCATTTACTTATTTTATTTCCTGCTATGACATCTCATGGAGCGTAGGACTGGCCTCTGTGGTGTAGCAGTAAGATGCTTCACTGTCACATGCAGGAGACCTGAGTTTGATTCTCAATTAGGGAGAATATTTATCGAATATCTCTTTCTTTCTGCCGGGATGTATCCCTCCCAGCATGGGTTATCCCTGACACACAGGATCAGAAGCCAGCCTCCTAAATGGTCTAAATTGTGTGGATGGGGTTGTAAAAACACCTACATTAAAGAAAAGATGGAGGAACAGTCACCAAAAAGCTGTCTACAGTCATCACAATACCGAGCTGGCTCTCCAACTTTCACTGCCTTGTCATAAAAGGCTGCAAATGAACCCACAAATTTCCAAGTTATAAAATAGACGTCATCTTGGCTAAAACTAGGAAAAGACGTGAAACTATTGGGAGTGTTTTTCACTTTACTGAAAGCTGTGATAAATGTTTAATACCCTTATTGTAGCTTTGTGAAGAATTATTTCGTCAACCATCTATGTTAATCAATTTCTGTGATAACCATATTGGTGTCAATTTTATTTGTGATATTAAAAGTAGACTACTTCAGCTATGTCTATTTATTTTATGTTGTGTTTTGATATGTTTGAGAAGGTTATGTACTTACAAACTGTTTGTATGTAAAGATCAAGCAGTGTCAGTTATAACTAAATGAACAACAAATCTGAGTGGCTCGAGACTTAAGCTCTGATTTGATCATAAAAGACCATTTGTTTCACAAACTCTTACTCGTATATATATATGTATATTGCTATTTTTGAAATACAGTCGAAACTGTCTTATATAGCCATCCGTTGTAAAGCAAAAAAAAAACAAACAACGTCTGTATTAGCCAGGTGGCCATCTTACACAGTGTCATTATAATGTAAAACATATGTGAGGCAGCGTGGTGGAATCAGGCTCTCTTCAATTTTGGGGCATGTAGAGTTATTGGTATCACCCTAAAGCTTGTTCACTTGCCTTTATTTTGATGAAAAAAATATCAATTTATCTTGAATACAAGTCGAGATATTTGCAAATGAAGGAGGTGGGGGTCACCTGTTTTCAGAGGTAAAATTGGTAAGAAAATGGCTGCCAAAGATTAGATATTTCCTTAGATTAAGAGCCCGTGGTAACTGAAAATTTACATTTTTTGTGCCTTTAATCAACTTTTTTCAGAAAAATCCAGACAGAAATGAGTTTTAATTTAATGGGCATGAGAGGTGTTGAGCCAAAAAAAAAAAATTTGATAAAAATTCTAAAACCTGCGGAAAAATGAAAGTTTCTTCACTTTGATTATTTTGACGAGAGCCTGATTCCACCACGCTGCCTCACATATATTGCTATTTTTGAAATACAGTCAAAACTGTCTTAGATAGCCATCCGTTGTAAAGCAAAAAAGAAAAAAAACCTGTCTGTATTAGCCAGGTGGCCATCTCACACAGTGTCATCGTAATGTAAAACATAATGACATATGCAAAGGAGGAATTGGGAAGTGACTGTTTGCACAGATTATTGTCTTATTATACCGGTGGCCGTCAGAGTAGGTTTGACTGTAGACCTATACTTTATTTATCAATGCCAAATTTGAAAAATGGGTCGTTGGAGGGTACTCTGGTGTGGTTTGCTTCTTAAATTCTTTCCTATCAAATATCAAACGTCTATGGTCCTTATCTTCCCCTCTTCTTTTTTACGTTTGTTACTCTCTTGTTATACCTCTAATCTCCTGGCGCTCATATGACTTTATGTAGTTGCGAGTGCCGTAAAACCTCTACTAAAACTGAACTAAAATTTGAAAGTGCAGTATACAGCCATTGTTTGTGTCACTGGTTATATATGTGAGGCAGCGTGGTAGAATCGGGCTCTCGTCAAAAATAATCAAAGTGAAGAAACTTGCATTTTTCCTCAGGTTTGTGAATTTTTATTAAATTTTTGTTTTTTGGCTCAACACCTTTCATGTCCATAAAAGAGCTTATTTCTGTGTGGATATGTATGAAAAACGTTGATTAAAGGCACAAATAATGTTAATTTTCAGTTACCGCGGACTCTTAAGCTAAGGAAATATAACTAATCTTTGGCGGCCATTTTTTCACTATTTTTACCTCTGAAAACAGGTGACCCCCACCTCCTTCGTTTACAAATATCTCAACTTGTATATTCAAGATAAATGTATATTTTTTTCATCCAAATAAAGAAAAGTAAACAAGCTTTAAGATGACACCAATAACTCTACATGCACAAAAATTGACGAGAGCCTGATTCCACCACGCTGCCTCACAAATGTTTGTATTGCATATTGGTTGATATTGAGTGAGACATTTATGTTTTATGTTGCCACCTCGAGGATTATACATAAAAATTTATTGTTGAGAAGATCCTGATAAAAACTCATCGTGGATGGTTGAGGTTTGTGGGTGCTGTGGTGTGGTTCGCTCCTTCTTTGGTATCAAACATATTGTTGTCCTTATCTCTCCTCCTTTTTTTGGTGTCTGTTATATACTCTCTTAATACCTCTAATCAGCTGCACCAATATGACCTGGTTGTGTTGTAAGTGCCGTAAAACTCTTACTAAAACTTAAACTAAAAAAACAAAAACATCAGCCATTAACACACTGCAAAGCTGAGAAGGGATTAGTCGTATCATGTTGATATGTGTATAATGTTATTATCCATCTTCTGTGCGGAATGAAGTTAATTTTTTGTTTTTCAACGTTTTAGTAAAAAGGTTACTTTATTGTCGTTAGTGTTTACAGATGTATTCTGCAGTGTTGGGATACGTTGTTGTGTGATTAATATTTTGGTTCCTGCTCATTGTCTCGTAATGTACGTGCAGTTTATCTAAGATGCTGCTAGCCTATGAGATAAGATGTTCATGCCAGTGTTGTATGACCTATAGTTAAATTTAATTAATTTACAGGGCAACTTTATTATCAACTAGAT